CATTAAAAAGAATTCCTACTCTTTTAAAGTGAAATATTAAGGTTTTCATCCTTATTCTATTTGTTATCTCTAGAGATTGTTATAAAAGTGGATTTTTACTTTAAAGTATATAAATATTATAATTAAACAACCTCATCTGTAGGCATAATTAAGGGATTGGAAAAAAATAAAAGCAAACTGAATTCTTAAGTCTACCTACTCAAAAGAGCTTTACTCCTCATGTTCTTAGGTAATCAGAAACACAGCAAGGACACATTCGATGGTGTTAGACACTTTCTAACAAAGTAAGGCATTCTGTTTGGCCTTTAGCTTTATTCCCATTAACACTAAAAATGTTATAATATTAATTATTGTACCAATGGGATTGGACAACTATACTGTCAGAGTTAAGAATTCTCTATATAACAAAAGAAAGATGGTTTCTTAGAAGACACTAAGATAGGGCGACAGAAGGCAAGCAGGAGAGCAGCCTCATTTCATGAAAAACCAAATGACATCTCCCAACACCAAAGCAGGTGCTTTCTGCTTAAGAGAAAGGCAACCAGAAACCAAAGAAGAAAAGCTGCTAAGAAAAAAAAAGTGAGGGGTGTTCAGATCTACCAGTTCCTCCCAGCATAACTAATTCAGTATACCCAATGAAAGAAACACTTCCATACATCTTGCAAACAGGTCAGATGTCACCTACAATTTTAAATGTTTTTTATACAAAAATAAGAATATGTCTATTTCTACCTACTAATAACCACATTACAAACTTGAGGAAAAGGAACATTTAGGAGTAGTGGAAAAATCTTTCACACACATTCTATTGTTGGAACCAGGCTGCCACATTACTCAACCCCACACAGTCACATTCACATAATATTCCATGTGCACGGCGGCCCCCGGATGCGTGCGCCAAATATGCTGTTTGGCCTTACGTAGTGGCCTGCAGGCAGTGGAGCGGTAGTGAAAAGAGCGGATCTTAAATCTACCTCTGAGTGCTAAAGAAGGCATTTGCTTAGTACCTTTACACTCAGAGGATATTCAAAGAAACAAATACAGATCATGTAATGCACATAATAATTATGATTTACTATCTAAATATCAACAGAAATGAGAACTATACAGCCAAATGTGTGGTGTACCTAGAAGAAGGAAAAGCCATATCCTTACTTGCAGAAGCAGGACCCGTCAGCTCTCCTGAGTGCTTGTCATACATCTGGGTGCAGCTTTGGTTCCTGGCTTTCTTGACTCCCTCCCCACACCTCAGTGCTCACAGTGCTCCCTCCCAGTGCCAACTCTTCTCACCACCACCCCAGGGATTGGCTTCTCTGTAACCCTTCTAGAGTGTGATCCTCTGAACAGGGACCACGGAGTCCCAGGGCCCAGCACCCTCAGGGTTGAAGGAAAATAAACTTACAGTGTGGGGGACCTGGAGCACAGGGTGGCAAGGAAAAGCAGGAGGAGTCAGAAATGGTTACAGAAAATATAAAAATGGATAAATAAACTTAATACAAAGTAGCTGGCATCACTCTTAATGATTTAAAAATTCCTCATTGATATGTTTTCAAAGCCAAGTTAAGGGCCACACAAGATAATCAATCCTGTTACTTCATATAAACACTTTTTTTTTTCCTTTTTGTCTTTTTTCGTGACCGGTAACGGGATCGCAACCCTCGGTGTCGCGCCCGTACCGTGACCGGCAACGGGATCGCAACCCTCGGTGTCGCGCCCGCACCGCGCTCAACCAGTGAGCGGACTGGTCTCTATATGGGATCCGAACCCTTGGTGGGAGCGCCGCCGCGCTCCCAAGCGCCACACTGTACCGAGTGCGCCACCAGGCCGGCCCATATAAACACTTTTTAATCAAAAATATTATCCAGCTTGATCATTTATTTTCTATGCTTAAATTTGATATAATGGTCAGCTTTTTCTTAAAACTCAAGTCTATCATGAAAAATAGCAGAACTGAAAATTTTACAAAGGATGTATATACTCAAAAACTTTCAAAAACAAAAACACCATAGGTTAAGAAGGTAAGAGTCTCAAAACTGTTGAGAGCTAAAAGGAGGACTCGCCCACAGCAGATCTATACTTCATTTGGAAAAACATTCATGTCAATGGGTGAATTCTCATATATTTTCTTAAAAATTCCTATTTATTCACATATACTGCATATACCATTAAGATTTAATTCTACTTAAGTGTTTCATTCTACTCTGATGTTCAGGAGAAAGGTGAAAATACCTCCAGTTTTATAAATCTATGTACGACCACTAACAGAGGCTGTTCACATAAACTCTGCCAACCACAAAACACAGACTTCATGACTGGACCAAGTGTACCTGATACTCTGGTAACATTGTTCACCAACTAAAAACAAGGAAAGAAAACACCCAAAGGATACATAAAAATCGAGCTGGTAACGCCAAATAGTGTTTCATAAAAATAGCAAGTACTCAGAAAATGCTTTGGAAGAGAAAAAAGAGGAAAGGAATAATGGAAGGTACACGGGGAAAAAAAAAAACAAAGAGATGGATGGAGGTGTCCCAGAAATCAGAGGACAAAAGGCCACAGACAGACAAACGGGGTGTGATGAAGAGGACAACTGAGGGGACCCGCTGGAAAAGGCAGTGAGAAGGGTCATGCAGGTTAATGTGTGACAACCTACTCGGCTCTTCCTGTCTCTACAATTTATAAGGTATTTCAACAGTGATATTTCTGGGACATCAGTCATTCACCTGAAACATCCTATTCTAGATTATTTTGGGAAAACCCAGGTGGACTCGCGGGCCGTACGTGGAAGCCCCAGGTTTACCTTTGCCGTTATCTGGAACTCCTCATGCTCTTTTAGCAGCTCCTGCGTGTGCTGGATGCTCGAACCTGTCGAGGTGTGTGTGGAAAGGTAGAACTCCCCGTTGTCATGGATCCATTCCAAAGCCTGCGGAGGGAAGGGAGGGCAAATGTTCACGGGCTGAACATTTGTGCGGAAAGCCCAAATTTCTCAGTACCCAGTTGAGATGTCAAATCACAAGCCAATGCTGGCACACACTCAAAGAGAGATAAGTTTCTGAAATGGGTATCACAATTTCAAAATTAAAAGAAAAACAAAAACAAAAAAGGACATTCGAGAGAGTTATGATCATGTCAGCAATGTAGCAACAATAAAAAGTTCAAGAGCTTCTTATAACCATGAACCCAGAAGTACAATAAAAGAAACCACAACTAAGATCCTTTTTCAAGAATACTGAGAAGGTGTGAGCAAAAGGTGGCCTGGAAGCCTTGCAGTGCCAAGTATCCAGACATGCACGTTACTGAAACTTTAGAACCATACTAGGGTGTTTTCAATGAAAAAGAAAAAGAAGGCAGGTGTGCACTTCCAGCTTTCAAATGTACGACGTTAGGCCTTTCTTGCTGTTCCTGTGTCTAGCTGTGCACCTCTTCACTTTTCTTCTTGGGGGGCTCCTGCCAAAAACCCCTTCCACATCACACACACACACCACCGGGGAGATGTGACTTAACCCTTCTAGTTGTAGCAAGAGAAATGAGCACACCTGGAGAGGGAGTCAGCTAGGTTCAGACTGTAATGGAATAACAATTCTCATAGTTTTAGATGGAAGTGAATTCTTTCTTCTGTTTTTATATTTTAAGTCTGAAGTGAAATCAGTCTTATTTAAACATACACACCTAAAAATGCCATGCTAAGGAAAAGCAGCATAAAAAAAGTAGAAGTGTTTCTATTTGCCCTGAGTAATCTCTAAGTCATCTGTTGTAGTTTGCTGGTCTTGGAATAGAAGATGGGCTGTCGCTATTAGATACATCACAGAATCTGTGGCATTTTAGCAGAAAAAATGAAAGGAAACACAGACCCATATGAATCTTCAGCTTACTAGCTGCGCATTTACTTCTGTTACACCTGAGCGAGGCGACCCCATCCCCAAAACAATGTCCACACTGGCTGTGAATCAAGGCAGAGAGCCATTTCAGTCTGTTTATTTCAAGTCCCTGATTTCTTTATTCATGCAGCAAATCATGCTGAGTGCCTACTGTGGTGTCAGATGCTAAGTGAGACCCTAGGGAATAGAGGAAGATTAGACCCGGCCCTGTAGACAGGGAAGGAAGAGACAGATGAAAACCAGCACACAGCAGACAGCTGGCAGTGACAAATGAGAGCATCTGGAGACCTTACTCAGAAAGGAGGTCAGCGGAGGTGGGACCTGTGGCTGAGAAGGGAAGAAAGGGGCATCAGAGGGACCAGCACATGCATAGCCCTGAGCAGGGTGGGCTCGGCCTGATGCATTAAAGGAAGGTGGGTTAGGCCTAGGAGAGGCTGGAGGAGAGGCCATGAACGGTGAGAGGGGCCTTGTGGGTCACAGGTGGAGCTTGGAATTTTTTCTGAAAGCTTCATGTGGCTACTGCTGCGTGGAAAAGGGTCTGGGGTGGAGAGCAGGTGGTAGGACCAACACCTGCTAGTACCTGGAGGAGAAGTTCAGGCAAGGCCTGGCTGGGGTTCCACTGGGGAGGGGAGGTCCACACCTACTGGACCCAACGAAGGAGCGCAGGTGGGGAGATACGGGAAAGACAGGAACCCAGTCATTCCTAAAAAGAGGAGGATCAGAGGGGACACGGGGACAGGGAATCCTGAGTGCACTTTTGCTTCTAGTGAGGCCAAAGTGGAGAACTGCCAAGCAGGTAACTGCAATTTCTGTAGACCTGAAATGGGGGCCAGGACTGGGAGCTACCAGAGAGACGTAAGAAGAGAGGAGAGAGAAACAAGAACAAGGCACAAACATTCAGAGGTGGCAATGAGAGAGACGGCAGCAAAGGGCCTGAGGAGGAGCGGCCAGCAGGCAGGAGGGCCCTGGGGAGGAGGAGGCCCAGGAAGCTCGAGAGGAAGGACATGCCCGCGTAAGAAGAGAGGAGAGAGAAACAAGAACAAGGCACAAACGTTCAGAGGTGGCAATGAGAGAGACGGCAGCAAAGGGCCTGAGGAGGAGCGGCTAGCAGGCAGGAGGGCCCTGGGGAGGAGGAGGCCCAGGAAGCTCGAGAGGAAGGACATGCCCAGAGGCAGTGCCAGGAAGCCACAGCACCCTCCCCACATGCCCACCAGAGATGTTTATGGTCACTTATTAACCTTAGCACACTGCACTGAAAACTGCAAAATCAGGCTGGGACCTCAAGGATTTGTGTTATATGGGATCAATATTTACTACAGCATTGTGATTACAGGATAGAACAGAACCCAATAAGGCCATAGGACCGAGGGGTCATTATCCATAATGGCATGAAATTAATTTTATTTTTGGCGAATGAGCTCACTTTAGGAAAACATAATGACATATTCCACTATCTTTTCTGCTAAGATAATTACAATTTTGCATCTCTGTAGCTGAATGATTCCCTGTCTTTGAAAAGAGAACTAATAAAAACAATATGAGAATATGAAGCCACCTCTAATTAAAAACCAAATCAGGCCTCCAGTAATTCTGAAGTATAGGTGAACTATCTCTAAATACAATGTTAAGAAAATGTAACTTATCGTTACAAAATACTGCTGTGTGCCACCTCTCTGTTGGGAATGTGATTCCTACACCTGGCAGAGTCAGCCAAGATGAGAAAAGCTGAGTCAGAGGTCTGATCCATGGCCCATGGACCCTGGTTCATCCACCTCTGGGGAGCAGAGCAGCTCCGAGCACGGGCCGCCTACTGCCAGACTAACATTCACCAAACTGGAGTAAAACCTGTTCCCTAAGTGGGAAACCTATGCAGAGGAAAATTTAATTTTTCTTGGGCTAAAACGATGTTACTGAATGCCTAATCTGTGTCAGGCGTGGAATAAGTTACAAGGTGGATTCAGAAGACATCCAGGTCTGAGTCATGGTCAGGACATGGGTCACCACCAACCAACAGCACGGAAAGGCCCAGTTGACTCTAAGGTCTTTCACAGGGAGGACACCAGATGACACACTGAGTGCCCAGCTCGGGGCCGGGTCACACACAGGTGTTTTCACAGAATGTGCCTTCTCTCCTGTGTTTCTCTCCTCACCTCCCCGAATTCTGAATGGACAGTTTAGGGATTTTTATACTACCATAAAGGCCAAAGAGAAGTTATAGGAATCCTAATGTTTAAGATAGGGGTTGCTGAACTTTGACCCTAAAACGATTTTCTTCCCTGAAGGACAATCTAGGCAGAAGTACTTTGTCCTAAAATGACTTCAGGGGATACTCCAAATGCACCCCCTTGATGTCTGTCTCAGCCAAATGCATGAGCCTTTCTTGGGTATACTGAATTATTAGAAATTCTGTAACATTTCCTACTTAATTTTAGCTCAATTTATCTGAAAAATAAAACTTTTTCTTGAAAATATAAATACAGCAATAAAAAAAAAACCCAAAAAACACCCATCATATTTACCCAAGTTCAGAACCAAGGTTCCACAATTATCCTTAAATAATCATAATTATTATTTGTACTTGGCTGTCATAAATCTGACGGAGAGGCAAGCTGAGTGGCACATTTGTTGAGGGTCAAAATCACCAAGTGACACACTTTCACCAGCTTGTGGGTTTTCTTTCATACCAAACCATAAACTAAAAGGCAAGACGGTTTTGGTCACTAGAAAGTGTATTTCACGGCGGCTGAATGGTCAGCTCCGCCTCTGCGTGGGCGAGGCGCGTGAGCGTGCTGACCTGCTTGGCGCTCCTCTCAAAGACCACGTACTGCTGGCACTGGTCGAGCCGTCGCTTCCTCATGGTCCAATAATGCAATACCCTGTTCTCCCGCTGGAAGAGTTCATTCAAGATGTCTGGAGAATAAATGAAAAGATGTGTTGGCGCTAGCAATCCACTAAAACACCTGCAAAATCCCATGCATTTTTATTTACACTTTTATGCAAATGCCACAGCAAGACAGAATGCTAAATAAAAAACCACACTGCTTTCTTGCTCGAGGTTCTCAATGAGCACATCAACCAGGACTCTCCTCATGCTCCCTCTGCGATTTATTACCTCATAAAAGAAGTCATTGGAAAATTAAGGTCAGTCTGTGATGCCTCTGGTTAGCTGGATTAGAGGCACGTGCATATTTTACCACCTGCGGGGGCAATTCAGCACAGGGTGCAAAAACATCACCATTAGATATTTTGTTCAAGCATTCCGACAGAAGGAACTTAGCATATATTAAAGGTGGTGTGTCCAAATGGGAGAGCACTAGAAGAAAAAGGCGGTTTTGTTTGTTGTTATTGATATTTTTACACAGAAACCCTTAGGAGAGAGAAGGCCATGAAGTAGGGAAGTAAGGAAGCAGAGGAACACGAAGCTTGAAAGGCAAAAATAAATCCTGATTACATAACAACTAAAAATGTCATAACCAAACAATAACCACCATAAAAATATCACACATATAAAAAGCTAGGAAAAACTACTGGGAACATAGAAGGCACAGACTGAAGCTTGAAAGGCAAAAATAAATCCTGATTACATAACAACTAAAAATGTCATAACCAAACAATAACCAGCATAAAAATATCACACATATAAAAAGCTAGGAAAAACTACTGGGAACATAGAAGGCACAGACCTAATTTATTTAATAGTCAATAGAAAAACGATGAACAGTCCATTAGAAAAGTGAGCAAATCATATAACCATGAAGTTCACAATTTTTTAAATATGACCACAAGATATACAGAAACATGTTTAACCTTACTCAAACCATGAGACCATCTTTCACTGTTTTCCCAGCAAAGAATGGCACTGTCCAGTGGTGGAAAGGGAAAGGGAACAGACACGATCCTGAGAAAAAGTGATACAACCCTGGCGGAGGGCAATTTGGCAGTAGGTAATGACATTAAAAATGTGCCTACCTGAGAAACAGGAATTCACCTTTCAGATGAACAATGCTTACACAAGCACTCAAAACTATTCGTTCTAAGATGTATGAACACTGAAGCACTGGTTGGAACAATGAAAAATTGGCAGCAACGTACAAACACATCAACTGGGGGCCAGATTAAGTCAATTTGGAAATGCTATATTGAACATTAAAAAGAAGAGAGCAGATCTTTAAATTCTGATGTAGAAAGATGACTAAGATATACTGATAAGTGAGAATCAAGTTGCAAGGGAATACGGTCCATTTAAAAAAAAATAAAGTGAAATAGGTGAGCGGAATATACATATGTTTATATTTCAAAACACAAAAGTCTTGACAGTGGTTTCCACTGGCAAAGAAATTAGGTAACTTACATACATTTGTACATTTTTTGATTATTTTATAGTAAGCCTGTTTTACTCTAGAAATTTATAAAACAAACAAAAAAGTTCGGAGAAAAATTCCCAAGACAAATTGCAAATCAAAGAGATGATACCTGGAATATAACTTCATTTTATACTGGAAAACCTTACACTGAAAATGAATACAGACCAATGGATCTCTTCTTGTTTCTTATTTCCATAGTCCAGCCTGAGCCAGTACTGATTTCAGCAAGTGAGCAGCGAGCAGAGTGATGACTCTCTTCCTGGGTCTGGGCTAGAGACCACATGGAGCTTTTTGAGCTCCTGAGGGACCTCTGACTATGTGGTCAGAGGTCCCTCTGCCTGTGATTTCTGAGGCTGTACTGTCCTTTCTGTCACTTGCACCTTGACATGGATTTACTGCACATGTTTGGTGTGTAAACCTTTAACCCCCCAAGTAGACTGTGAGAGAAACAGAACATTTCTTTTTAATTCTGCACAGCAGCTGTCATTATGATACACAACAGCAAATGCATAATGAATATCTAGTGAGTGAATAAAAGAAATGTACTCTCCTCTCGCACACAAACATGTGTCAAACTAGTACAGCCTAGAAAGGACCACAATAACATCTTTAATCAGAGAAAACAGAATACAACCACAAACAAAAGAAATACTGAGACGAAAGAAAAGAAATTGTTTTCATATGGGATGGGCCAAATAAACTGATTATCAGAGCAAATAACTTGCTGGCAACCCAGACTTGTTCATACTGAAAAATGGTTGCTTTTGTTAGTTGCTCATTTTCCCAGAGAAAGCACAACAATTAATAAACTTAAGTCACAATGAAAATACAGAGATGATTGTACTAGCGTGACAAAAAATTATTCTGTGACAGAAAATTATTCTGTGACAACAGAAGAATCAGATAAACAAAGAATAGAATATAGAAAGGTTTTGCCAATCATATTTTTCAAAAAAGTGTGATATGAATCATTTAACTGATTATGACAATTTTTTCCCTACAAACCTCAACACAAGACGTGTGCCCTTGGTCAAGGTAGTTATTACTCTGTACCTCAGTTTCCTCACCTGTGTACCTTCCTCCCATACCAATTTTGTTATTTACAGTTTAATATACATTTTCCCAGAGCTTTTTCTATTCAATTATATGTACTCATGTACATATATATATAAACATGTTTTTATAGATCTTTATACTCAAATGACGTTAAACTATATAATATTATTTTCTGATTTGCTTAACAATGTCTTAGGTATATAACATTGATACACATTATAATAATAATATTGGTGGCACAGGGGCTGGCCAGATAGCTCAGTTGGTTAGAGTACAGCCTTGGAAAACCAAGGTCAAGGTTTTGGGTCCCCGTACAGGCCAGCCGTAAAAAAAAAAAAAGAAAATACATGTTGGTGGCAAATTATTTCATGATTTAAACTTTTAAAAATATTTTGCCTATAGATAACTCTGGTGTTCATCTTTTCCTTATTTATAATATTTTCACTTACTTTAACAAAATGGCCAATGGCAATAAATGTCATCCTGAGTGTTGCACTTTCTCCCTTTTCATATTCTTCAATTTATTCAATAAATTATTGACATATTCAATATATAATCTGCCTATACATTTCTTTACTTTCTTATCATTAAACTAAGATGATTGGTGAGTACTTTGTTAACATGAAATGGACATCTGAAATGACGCCCCACGTCACAGTGCAGAACACGTCGTGTCCAGCTCCTCCCTTGCTTGGGCTGATGCTGCTGATTCCCAGCTATACTCACTTTTTACTTGCTGCTCTGGTGCTTTGATGTGCGTCACCATTCCTGGCATGTTCACACTATTCCTGTGCAGGTATTTCAGGAAGACATCGGCATTCCTCCTAGCAAGCGTGCAAGCCTGAGAAAGAATGGAGAGCAACATGGTGTTAATTTGACTTACGAAAACGTGTATTTTGAGTATACAGGGAAGACAACATCGTATGGCTCTAACACAGTCTTTGCCTGAAACATTCACTGGGGCCAACTGTGGTTTGGAAAATGCATAGGTTAAATCCTACTTCGATTTTAAAAACTCTCTCTCTTGGAGCCCTCACTCTGATGACACCAGCTGCTTGTTATGAATTGTTAAATCCTACTTCGATTTTAAAAACTCTCTCTCTTGGAGCCCTCACTCTGATGACACCAGCTGCTTGTTATGAATTGCCCTATGGAGAGGCCCACGTGGCAGGGGACTGAGGGCAGCCACTGGCCTCCAGCTGAAAAGAAGAGAAGCCCTTCCCCAATCGAGCCCTGACCTAGCTGTATCCCTGGCCAACTCTTTTCTTTGTTCTTACGAGAAACCCTGAGCCATAGGACCCAGCTGAGCTGCACCTGGATTTCTATAAAGGGCAGACAGTAAATACTTTCAGCTTTGGGGGTCATACAGTCTCGTTACATTATTCAACTCAAACACTGTAGATGAAAGCAGCCACAGATATTATGTAAATGAATGGGTGAAACCAGATTTAGCCCTCAGTTTGTAGTTTGCCAACCCCTGGATTAAGCCAGTAAGTTTGGGGTTAGTTTGTTATGCAGTGTTATTTTGCTAATAGAAAACTGATAATTACGTGTTCATGTAGTAGGATAAACCAAATAGGTAATTTCATTAATATATTAAAAAAACGGGTTTTATATAAAAGAGAAATGGATATAAATATGAAATCAAAGAAGAAAAACCCCTCTTAATTATATTTGAATTAAAAATATCTTGCACATTTCCTGTCCCAGTTCTGGAATTAATCTTTTCTTCAAGGGGCTCTGTCTCTTTCTGGTGATATACGGTATTTGGAGACTACAATCTGGGTACAAGAGATGCTCAGTACTATTGGGCTGTCACTGTTTCTAGGCTTTTTCAGTAGAGGAAGCTAGGATTTTTTTTTTTTTTTAAGTAAGAGAAAAATAGATCATGAGTCTATACTGATCAGTCTGAAATTTCAAATTGTCATATTAAACAGCAAGGAAAAAAAGAAACACTAAGGAAGATGCTGAAGACTGCTGGGATTATATCAAAAGAACATCTAAGCCAACATCATTTGAAGGGGCTCCCACAGAGGGGACAAGTTGAATGTTAAAAGATAAATGACTGCGATTGCCCCAAATACACCAAGTATATTAAAAAAAAATGTCATATGTAGATGTCGCTAGGGCAACAATTCATTACTCTGAAAATGGCAAATAAAGGGAAAGATTCAAGCATTTACTCTGCCTTTTTTGGACAAACTCTATTTTAGAGTAATCCAATAGCTGAGGAGGGAATAATCCTAGCTAATCAAGGCCAGAGAAATGATAGGATTTGCAACTCCTAACGTAACAGCATCACCACTGGCTAATGACCCCACTAGGTGAGAGGCTGACAGGGAAGTACATAACAGAGGATCTGGACTCGCTGTTTCTGAACCTGTGATAAACCCTTATATCACAGAGACAAAAAGAGAACCAGGCACTATGTGCCTCCTGATGTAATCCAATAGGAAGGACATGGCACCAACGGCAAAGTATTCTAAGCTCTCCAACACACATGCGCACGCACACACACACATGCACACTCAAACCTAAATCTGATCAAGGCTCTCAATCTAACAGACATTTAGAGGATTTTAGATGGTGCTAAATGACTCCACGGGACGTAATTACCAAAGTCCAGAATGTTGGAAATTCCACAGTATGAATAACCTATTTCTTCAACTAATAAATAGTAATGGGGGGTGTGGGGGTGCTGTTTAGATAAAAGAGTTCAAGAGACATACCAACCAAATCAATATGCAGATCCTATTTGGATCCTAATTGAAACCATGTGTAAAAAGGCATTTATAGGACAATCACAGAAATTTTAACACTGCTGGATATCAGATAATATTAAAGATTATTATTAATTTAAAAAATATAATAATGGTATTGTGATTATGGTTTTAGATGTTAAGATATACACTGAAATATTTACAAATAAAATAATATAATATCTAGAATTTAAAATAATTCACTGAAGGTGGACAGATACCCAAATGTTCATAATTACTGAAGCTGGATAAAGAGTAGAGAGGAGATCATTATACACTCTCTCTACTTTTATATAAATCTTGAAATTTCCATAATTAAAAGCTTTAAAATATCCAATACAGAAACATTACAAAATTCCAATTGAATAAAAGAATCCAAACAGGCTTGTGATCATTTTTGTTTCATAATTTTATCTAATTCTCTCTTTCTTAATTACATTAGTAATGTAGCACTCATTCCTTTATTCTAAGTGAATGCTGGAGAAAGAGAGGCAAATTAAAATGATTCCAATTCACGATATCTTATCAGTGGTCAGCATTCAGTAAACTTAAATAGCGGTGGACACATTGGGGTGGGTGCTTTTAGGTCTTGTTCGACAGACATAGTGACAATTAATGATGGTGGAAGTTAAGACGGTTTTCCCATCCTGACTTGCTTAAAAAGGAAAATCGCAGTGGAGGGAGCTCAAAGTAAGCTACCAGATATAATTACAAAGGGTTAAGATGCATTCTCCCAGACTAAACAATAACCCTCAGTCAGATGATTATCTTCAGAAGGGAAACAAAACTTACTGAATGTAACAGGAAATGGTGACAGAGGGGTCAGAATGCTGAAGCAATGAGAAAAACTAAAGTTCCAATGCAACAAGGAACAGTACCCCCCCGCCGCCCCATTTGTAACAGGTCTGGGTAGTGGTAATAAGCACAATCTCAAAAATCCTTTTTTGAGCCCAAGAATGCAACATGGAAGCACTCGGTGTCAAATGTTTCTAAACA